AAGGGGTTTGTGGAGATTTTTAGAAATTTTCACAGATTGAAATCATGAGTCAGTTGAAGCTAGACCACCATTGAAAACCTGGAAGCACTGGACGGCCGTTTCGTCCTAGTATGGGACTCCTCAGCAGTGCGCATCCACGATCCCGCACCACGCGGGGCTCGAACCCAGGACCTACTGGCTTCGCGCGCGAGCACTTAACCATTAGACCACTGAGCCGGCATCCAACGGTGTTAATGTCTAACTTCAACCAATCCACGAAGTTGCGCCACCATATACCATTGTATTCAGTGAGCTGATATCTCACAACAGACCTGGTTGTACTCCACTGGTAACGGCTTCCCACTAGAACTCCAGGAGTATCTCTTGTATTCTGTCAATATTGAAGAATAGTTGATAACTAAGCAGTTTTGTAGAGATAATTTATAATACATTGGTCATATCACCTCGTTGTATATTCTTAAATGTGTACTTATTCATACACAAAAATTCATGATTTCATGGTTAATAATAATTTCTCGAAGTCGTTAAGTTATAATGAAAACGATTCACATTTTCCAACTTCAATCTATGTGTTATTTATAATACAACTAATAATCATCTGAATTGATAGCTAAATAACTGCCTTTTATAAACTAAAATAAATAGGTTTTCAAGTCTGTAACACTAGAAATGTCCCGTGAAATAGCACAGATACATACATATAACTATAAATAGCAAAGTGATTAACATAGAGAAATTGAGTTAAGCAAAACTTTAACTCGGAAAATAAAACACAATTTTTCAGACTAAATGGAATAACATAATAATAACAATAATTAATTCTAGATAATGTGAGGTAATATAAAACAATTGAGCAAAGACAACAAAGGTATTTTTCAGGACAGTGTCATGCAATCTCGTCAGATTAATGGTAAAACTTGAGAGAAATAGGAATATTCCTTACTACACGCAACAAAAGTAACTGGGACAACAAGCCTAGTTAATATTGATTTCCTACAAATGTTTATTATTTTTTAATTACTTCATTTATATGCTGTTGTGCAATCATCGAATAAAAAAGGTCCAGGATTGGTATTTCAAGTTTATCCATTAGCTATTGGAACTTTACCTTTCGCACCATTATGGGCAACAATATTCTTTCTGTTACTTATAATGCTCGGATTAGACAGTGGAGTGAGTTGTGAAATTTAATGAAACACTTTTTGTACCATATATATATATATATATATATATATATATATATATATATATATATATATATATATATATATATATATATATATATATATATATATATATCAAGATTTGAATCAACCTATTCAATATAAGTTCTGATTTTTCTAACTCATTGTCTTAGACCAAGGTAGATGCTAGTAAGGTTCAAGTCTGTAATCCAATAGTTAAAAGCCAAGCGTGTCTTAACCATGAATTGGTTGATTCATAAACGAAAATAACATAAAAAGTACAGTTACCGAATAAATTTTTAAACAAAATGAGTTATACATTTATTCATATATTTGGCAAATAAACTATTCAACCTTAAATGATTTGTGATTTATAACTCTTTAAAAGCAGAGAAACACATATCTGTTTATCGTTACATATGTGCATGTCAATAAATATTAAAAGTCGATGATTACTACTAGTAAATGTAATTAGTCAACTGACCTCAGAAAAGCGCATCCACGATCCTGGACATGAAAACCGAAAGCAGGACCTCCGATCTCGCGCGAACGCTTATCCTCTAGATCACGACCGAAAAGTCCTGTACTGTGACAAAACGGCTATTATGTGCTTCCAGGTTTTCAATGATGGTCCAACATTGGTTAGTTCATGATCTCAATAAAAAAAATCAAATTTTATTTGTTGTCAGGAAACCGAATATGATACCGGCTTATAATTTGATACATACAATTTGTTTGTTCTTTTAAGGATCAATAGTCAAATAATTGCCTCAAAAATCTGCTCGTGATCTCAATAAAAGATCAACAGTTTCCACAACCCCATGCTGAAATTTATATTAGTATATTTGTATTTGTTACAAAGATTTACTTTTATGATTAAGATGTTCGATTTTCATTTAGTTTGTTATTTATTAAAATCCCGTCCTATGATTTTTTTACATCTCTAAAACGGGGTGGTACAGATCATCGCTAAGTGTAATTAAAAAACAGCCAACTATAATATACACGGTCGTTGCAATTAGTTCGCTTACTAAGTATGATCTAGTTTTGTTATATATAGGAGCAGCAAACCAGACCCTCCCAATCTATAACAATAATAAGACCGTAAACATCAGTGAAACTGCATCAAATAATTAAAAATCGTGCATAGCTAAATCAATGTGAACAATCGAAATTCTTCACTACTCGCTCATGCAACAACTTCAGCTATTTCGTTAGTCTACGAGTACTGACAGTGCTTACACTGTCAGCCTGACCACGGCTTTGGGGGTTACTGAAGCAGTTGAATTGTGTTTGACCACCAGTACCTCCACATTTAAGTCATAGCTTTTTCTCGAACTGTGCTGTTTGATTTTTCCATAATTTTAATGACATTTTCACCCTCTTTCCTCCCTCTCTTCGTATCAATTTAATGATATTTTTAGGGGTCCTCTGAAGCTTACATTGTACTATGTATATGAAAATCGCAGTTTAAAATAGTTAATTTTCATTAAATCACTTTATTATATCGTCGAAACACTGTTAATAGGTGTCACCTTTTGTATCGATTATCATTTCAGATGGGTGGATTAGAATCCGTTGTCACCGCTTTAACTGACATTGTACCGAAGAGATTTTCACGTTACAGACATTTACGACCTTTCATTACATTGGCTGTAATTGGTTCGGCCTGTTCATTTGCCTTCATTAATGTAACCAGTGTACGTATTCTAGTCAATAATCTTTGACCAACGTATTCAGCAAATTCAAAAACTTCAGTACTGATCAAGTCATCACAACTATTTGGTTTTAGTTTTTAATCCTTATAAAGGTAGTAAAAACTCATTTAAATAGATAAAATCATGATTGGTGTATCACAACATCAGTTCAAGATGATCCGACTATAAATCAACTTCTTGTAGACTATGGGATTGAGTAACACGTTTATAGTAGTACTACAATTCTACTTTAAATTTTAAACGAGCTAGTGAGTTTTTTCATGCAAAATTGGATATTGGCTTGCAGTGGAATCCAGGACGTGCTTTTCGTCCTATTTGGGACTCGTCAGCTGGATGTTCCTGCATCGCGGAGTTGATGGTCACTGGGACTTGAACCCAGTACCATTCGCTTCAAACGCCGTCGCGTTATCCACTTAGCTACCGAATCCTGATAGCCAACTGCTTGTCCAATGGGGTGAATTTGAATTCATTTGGTGTTGTCTTATTTTTATCTTCCGATTGTTATTTAGGACTGCAATTGATAAGTCTCATGTTGGCTTAAAAAGCTTGTGACTTAAGGCTATATCAAGGCGATCCACACAGGATGCATATGTGCCAACATGAGATTGATCAGTTGCGGTCCTAAATAACAAGGGGAAGATAAAAGTAAGACAACACCAAGTGAGTTTGAGCTACTGAATCATTTCAGAAGTATGAATGTATTCACAAAGCTAATAGCTTTCACCAATACTATTATTCTGAAATTGTAAGTGGTTGATTAACGAATATCGATTTGACATGAGAATCACTTTTCTAAAGCGTGATCTTACCTCATCTAGTTTTCGTTAAGATAGTATGAATTATTTAGGGCTATATTAGCTGTATTACCGGATTACATTGCCTGACTAAAAAACTATTAATCTCTTTTAAAGACACCATAACGCTGTGATATCATTAACTTAAATTCTAATAGCCATAGAGGAAAATTTCCGGTCATATATTTGACGGAAATACCCTGTTAAGTAAAACGATTTCAGTTTTATAAACCAGGTTGCTCGAAGTTTGATAAGTACCAAAGTAATCAAAAGTTTTTATTTCACCAAAGAAAGTATATTCTCATTTTATATCGTGACAGTTAGTTGAAAATAAAGTAAACAATAGAACTGATCGGGGGAACCGACTTCTGGAATATGTTACGTAATAAACTTGAAAACGCAGCCACCAGGCGAATTGATTGTATGTATATCAGTAAAATCAGTCTATCATCTACATCCAAAATATTACCAGTAAAAAATTAGCTGAGGACGAAAGTGAAGGTAGGCAAGCTAATCTCCCGACCTGGCTTATCAGATGACGTCATGTCCCCTAGATTCCTACATTTATCTCCATATGTAATTGTCTGTGATAAGTGGATTTTAGATACTGTTGACAGTGATATTAATCATAGCAATTTAACCTAACAATTCGTATACAAATACTATGAAAGTCTAATATCCGGTCAGAACGACTGATCAGCTAATCTGAGGTTAAATGTAAAATTCTGTTACTTCGTATGATCAGAGGAAATGCACGTTTCAACAGAAAGCTTTAGACCTTGGTTTCATGAGATTTGGCGCTAATCAGCAAGGTGTACCTGTACTCTTGTAGGGACTGTCCCTCTTTGGTGCATCCTGTGTCACCTACACTTAACCACCTAACATTTCAATAGCAGACATTATATCGTCACTTAGATTAATGATCGCACTTCAATTTGTTCGATAAACTTTGATCATCACTAGAATGAAATAAGCAAACGTGACACCAGTCACTACTACTCAGTGATCAATCAATGATGGATGACCTGTTGCTAAACCTGTTATGAATTGCGTTTTCTGAATGATGTGAACTTTCAATTGTCATAGTCGATAAATATAATGCTAATTGACAAGAGAACACTATGATATAATGTGAGTGATGGATAGTCACGAGACCATATAATTAACTTGGTGCCCTGAATGATTACAGACAAGACCATTAGTCAGATGAATGGTTTTTCGTTCAATAAGATAGAACGCTCGTATATGAACACAAAATAAACATGAAGAAATGTCATAGGCGATTAGATGAAATTATATTGTAGACCAATCATTCACTAAGATCTGACTAACAAGCCAAACCTTTAGGCATCATATCAAAGCCTGATCGGACTTTCTTGTTAATTTTAAGGGGGGATGTATGTATTCAACCTTATGGATCGATATATGGCTGGTACTGCATTACTCATTGGAAGCTTATTTCAAGTGATTGCCATAGCATGGTTTTATGGTAAGTCATAAACTATATGTTTATATAAGTTTTGCTTGAATTTAAGTTTTTTTCTATTGTATAGTATACCAGTTTATTCTGATCACATTAACTAATGAATAAACTGTAAGAGCAATTAAGTTAATGTCTCTAGATCATCAGTGTTTAACGATTATGAAAACAGTCCATTTAGTTATTTTCATAGTTTCAGCAACAGACTGAACCTAACCAGACAGCACTGAAAACCTAAAAGCACTAGATGTCCGTTTCTTCCTGTCACGAGACTCCTCATCAGTGTGGATACATAATTCCGTATCCGTGATAATTGATAAGTGGTTATAATCCGGGTGGAATCTAGTTAGAAGACAAGACGCGACATAACTGACATACTTGTGATCTATGATGACAAAACGCCAAAATGAATGTGTTCGGTTACACAAGCAAGATTAGCTATGACTTGAACAGGTGAAGTCAAGCAGTTAGTCACAAACCGAATTACTGAATAAATGAAACAATTGATTATATTTTTATCAGTCCCCGTTCAGACAAAATTTAGTTTTTAAATCAGAGTTTATAAGGACATAAAGATCCGTAGTTTAGATGAGTTTCATTCTCTGGGCTGGATGGTTTATTCATGCTTCCATTCTTCTTCTGAACATTAGCAGCACGAACCTCAAGTAGAGAAGTTCAATAGCAGATTCCTAAACTTATCAGTCGTGTAAGAGTTAGCACTGAGACAACCGTCATTAATACAGTTTGAACTCAGCCGGTTAAATACCTGAAACTTATGTTGAGATCATGAGTCAATTGAAGTAAGACTACCGTGAAAAACCTGGAAGCACTGGACAGCCGTTGCGTACTATCGTGGGTTCGAGTCTTGTGAGGCGGGATCGTGGATGCGCGCTCCTGAGGGGGCCCACAGTAAAGCGAAACGGCCGTCCAGTGCTTCCAGGTTTTACATGGTGGTCTTGCTTCGATTCACTGATGATCTCAACTATTGAAATTACTATAATATCCACAAAAACCCATTTTGAAGGTTATGTGTACATATCGATATGCTGCTACTAGTAAGTTAAGTTCCAGGTGTAAGGTGTTTTTATGAAATGTTACCTCTCATGCTAGTCATAACCATGTATTCACTAGTGATTAATTTTAAGATGACTCACTGAAGTCCTAACGAGAAACACTGTACGATGGAGTTCGACCAAGTCAGGAGTAAGACAGGTATCACTTAAAATAGTGTTTGGTTAAGTTAAAACTGTTTATTATCAAACTCCAGAAGAGTAGTCTAAAAAGCAGCTACATTCGATCTCGTATGTAGTCATGTGTTTACTTTCGGGGAGCCCGAGACTGGGACAAAACAAACGTTCCACGATTCTTGGTCTGCAGCGATTTTCTAGTTAAAGTCAGTTTCTGATGTAAAGTATAGTAAAATCAACAAATGGCAGAAAAATATGTAATTAAATAAGGATAATGGTCGAGGTTGTTAGTATTTTTTTAGTCAACTAAAAAAACAGAAAATGGAAAAATATCCTTCCTGACACATAAATCAAATGTTTACTGCAAAACATGAATAGAAGACCCGTTTTCCGAACATTTTTTCAAATCGACATTCGGTATAACTTTGTCATAATGGAATACAACCAAGAAGTAATATTAAATATTATCGTTATAGGTATGAATAAACTTTGTCAAGATATTATATCAATGAATCTTCCCACACCCAATATATATTGGCGACTGTGCTGGAAACTGTTAACACCCATCACTTTGACTGTAAGCATATTTTATCTGCTCATTTCCATTTTAACAGTTAAATCCTCCTATTTAATATTATAAAATGAAATTTGATTTAGGGACCGTTTGCAAAAATATGCTATATCATGAGAAAGAAGTTTGCTACAGGCCTGCGTCAGTTGCAAATCACAAAACGATTGCGCTCTGTTTTGGTACGAGTGTTCTATAGGGACAGCAAATGATACAACAATTTACAGTTAGAAATTCATAGGCTAGCACGAGATAGAGAAGACGAAACCTTTGGAATAACTTTTCTATTCCGAACAAAAGTCCAAATTAAAAGGAAACAGCGGTTTATGTAGTAATGCTCAATGATCTTGGGAAAACAAAATTTAATAAAGAACAAATGACAACAACTAATCAGATAATACCAAACATCAATACGGAAAGATGAATAAGAAAAAATAACTACGGGGAAAAATCTAACATGTTAAAAAAAACTAGGTAACTTGAGTCCACCTTAACAAAATGTAAGAAACGTTGCATAAATTTAACATGCATAAAAATTTTAATTTGATTGGTGATCCATATAGTTACTTTCACTTAGCTGAAATTAAAGTAAATGTTCGTTCAGAAACAAAGAACAAAAGACTATAAAAATGCGAAACAATTACATGGATATCGAATTAAGCCACTGTAATGAACCAAAGAGTATAATACTAATTATGGACTCGAGACAGACTATCTAATCAATTTGGTAAGATTTTGTTTAGCAAACTGACGACACTTGTTGCACATCTATGCCATTCGAATGCTTAAAATAATTCACTCTACTTTATGCCTTGTGAACCACTGACAGATACACAAAAGGACCACAAAAATTTTGTCAGTGGAATAGAAACAGGATCAATACAGAAGTGTAGTATTGTGTATAAAAAATCAGTCAATAACATTGCGTATCCACAACGACTGACGTGTTTGGATACGTACCACTACACGTATTGTGCAACTACAGCTTATTGGTAGTCAAGATCGCTTGAAAAGTCGGACAAAACGTTGATCGAACCCAGAACTGAAAACGACTCACTTGGTATTGTTTGCTTGAATCTTGCATTGAGGTTTAAGGCTGTAATTGATCAGTCTGTTATTGGCATACGTGCACACTGCGTATTGCCCAAATTCACAAGCTTTATAAGCAAAGATGGATAGACTGATCAAGTGCAGTCTCAAACTTCAATGGGAAGATTCAAGCAAATACCAAGTGAATTTAAATTCACCCCATTGGACAAGCAGGTGATTATCAGGACTCAGTAGTTAAGTGGATAACGCGATGGCGTTTGAAGCGGATGGTACTGGGTTCAAGTCCCGGAGTGAACATTAACTCGGAGACGCAAGTACATCCGGCTAACGAGTCCCACTGCTAGCCATTGTCCATCTTTGCTTATAATTCACATGAATATTATATATGTATATGCAAAACGTGAATATAGCGGCTCAGGTCGTCATTTTACATGTGTTCCAGACTCTGAACAGCATATTATTTCGCAACATCCTTTCATTTGTTGCTAACAAATTCACTTTATGGTATCAGTTTGATCGTTAATACCATGGACTGTTTGGAACTTAGTGTTAATCATATATATACATGTAACAAAACTAAGATCTTATTAAGCACTGAGTTATGTTCCTTTTAGGCATACAAAATAAAATAACATCGTTAGTTCCATATACTGAACTACATATAGCTAGGTGTTAAGAGGTAGTCTGAAGGAAACTCTGGATTCATGTTTCATGCTGGTTTGCACTTACAAGCTTTAAGGAATTGATATTCCCAGGTGAAATCGAACCCACGTCACCTAGTTTCATAGAGATATTACCAATGAGATATTCAGGCTACAATCCAACTACATACTTTTCCTATTAGTAATGAACAACCAAGTGAGTATCATTTATTCTAATCAGATGATTGTTTTGTAATTCGCAAGGAATAAATATACTACTTAACAGAATACTACATCCCGTTTAGTCAGTATATGGGTCACTCACTTGATTTTATCTCTTCGAATTTTCCTGATCAATGAAGGTTATGATAATCAGTTCACTGATAGATCCTACACCATTACAATATAATTATGGAGCAAAACATCCAGAATTATCAACTAATTATTCAGAAAGAGTAAATATCACTCTGCACGGAACTTCACAATTTTATGTTTATCCAAAATGGTCAATTTATTTAGGTTGGACCATGAGTGGAATATCAATTAGCATGATTCCATTGGTATTTTTAATTGTTTTAGTTAAAAATGGTTTTAGAATGAAGGTAAGTCATTCTGCTTTATTCTGTATATTCGGTCTTTTCCTTCTTCGTATAGAATAATAAATATATAAAATTGATAGCGAAAATAGAATCGATAAATTCGGCAGTATGTTCAAAGAAAACTTTTTTTTACATCCAATCACTTTTAATTTAGGCAAACTTAAATAGGTCATAAAGCTAAATATATTGTATGTAATGCAAGTTTTTCTAATCAGTCATAAATGAAACATAGATCTTGGAAAAAAATGACCATCAATTAGAGATTTTACACCTTATATGAAGTATGGCAAGAGTAGATATGTCAATAGATAAAGGGTATAAACAACAATAAAAAGATATCGAACATAAAAATATGTTGAATAGCGAATTATAGTAGAATCCATGATGTGCGTTTCGACTTATTTGGGAGTAGTCAGTTAAATATACTTTCATTCAAGTATCGATCTTCACACTACTGAGACATTTCAAACCATCACTAGCAATATTGCTTGGTTTCAGATTTGAACCACAAGTAATACAACAAAAACTCACTTATATGGATAAATACATAAGTGACACATCATCTGAATTCAGAAAAAAACCAATTTCCTGTAAACTATGGAAAATACTACAATTCTGTTCTGAGATGTAAACGAGCTACTGAATCATTTCAGTAGTATGAATGTTTTCACACAAATTAATGACTTTAACAGTATTATACTCAAAATTTCGATTGTCATTTCACTTGTCTATTTGAGATAAGAATCATATTTCTAGAGTACAACTTCACTGCACCTAGCTTTTATTTACGATAGCATTAATTATATGACGCTATACAATAGTCGTATATCTAGAAAAACTAGTCAACCGCAGTCCTCGACACCAATAAAGCAAAAATACAAACCCTCACAAACAGGATATAGTTTGATAAAAAACGAATAGGAACGAAGACATAAGTAGTATGAGACAATTTGTATGACTCAAAAATGCATACATTTACATATGCCTCATTTTTAAGCTACACTATCCACGGCTCTACCTTGAAGAGTCGAACCCACCACCTTCGGTCTTGCGCGCGAACGCTTAACTTATAGACCAACTGAGCTGGCATTCAGTGTGGATGTCTAACTTATCATTTCCCCACTAGTTACTGGATTCGACAGGAAATTCGCGGAGTACTATTGAGAAGCCGTGACCAGTGGAGTTTAACCGTGTCAGATGAGTCATTTACACCTCGAAGAGAATCGAAGATAGTCGCTCAATATCGTGAATTGATTGAACCTAGACATTAATTAGCACAGTTGGATACCGGCTCAATTGGTTCAGACGTTAAGCGTTCGCACGCGAGATCAAAGGTAGTAGGTTCGATTCCTGCGTGAGGGGTCTTGTATACGCCCCGCTGAAGTCCCACACTAGGATGAAACAGCCGTCCAGTGCTTCATGGTTCTCATTGGTGGTCTAACATTGACCAGCTCGCGATTTCAGTAAAATTTAACAATTTCTACAACCTTATGCTGACATATACACATATGTCGCTCATGTACATAGAATTCAGGTTTGAAAAGCTAGTTTGCTAACGCCTCTGCATTTCACAAGTTACCAATTTGCGCTCCTTTTAGGGCAAATCGTCTGATAGTACATATGGTTTCGGAGGACTTATCAATTGAGGACATGTGACCAGAGTTCACACTGGATAAACTTGTAGAAACTTTAACTTCCAATAATCAGATTTGCAAAATAACATGTAACGACTTTTTAATTTTCAATTATACATTAATTTACAGATTGGTGAAGTTTTCTCAATGGGACCACTTGATGTATGGCCAGTCAAGAAGCGACATCAAATATGTAATCGATATTTCAACCGGAGTGAAGGAAACCATGAAAAGAAATATACTAGCAAAATAAATGATGATACAAATATACAAAGTAATCATTATGAATCTACAAGATAGGCAAATTAAGACCTAGAGTTTATCAATTCATACATAAGAAACATTTACAATCACAATTACAAAATAATTAAAACGACAACTACTTAATTGCCATTTCAAATATATTTATCATATTGATTTATGCACAGGTCGCTTACAAATCCGATATTCCTAACTCTGAACCCAGGATATTTTAGGAAATTCCGCAAACAAAATATTATATGAACAGTTGATATAAAATAATTATTTGTTGTCTCACCCGTAATAACAATAAATCATAAGTCTTAATACACATTTATTTTTCTTGTCACGATAGTTATTAAGTGATGTTATTAGACGGTTAGCATCCAGCCTGAAACATGGCGGACACAATGAAGATGATCAAAAAGAGACTATAAAGAAATGAAGGGAATATGAAATGTGGAATGGAACAGTACAGAACAAATCAAATTAATATGTAGTGTTGATAGAAATAAATAAGCGGACTTACCATGACTATCTACAGAAACACGGTAGTGATAAACAGTAAAGGATATAAAAATAACCAAGGGTTGGCAGATATAAGTTATGCAAGACGATTGGGAATGAACACATCCATGGTAAATGCTAAAACCTTTTATCTCTGGCTATCACCTACTGACGATAACGCCATCAAAAATAAGAATGTAGTCATTATGAAAACAAGAAACCCTGCAGCGACTAAACTTACGAATTAGTACTGCCTGGATTAAATCATATTCAACTTTTTGCAATATATTTACTGATCAAAAAATATCCCAACTTATTGTAATCAATCTTCCACAATAAATGCTTTGAAGATAAGTACGCTGAATACATGTAACCCCTTCTGTTACCCACTTACAATATTTGTAGGGTAGGAAATATATGTTTGTTAAAGGAAGACAAGTAACGTATACGTCTGTACCATGCAAACCTAAACTAACCCCTACAGCCAGTCAGTCAGTAACAACATCGAAATTCGTACGTACAAACGTCAGTTCGAGTTGCCACACCACATAAGCACAGAGATGCAGTTGTCGATTCAAATCCCGTAGTGGTAAAGCCGGTAAGAGTACAAGCGGTAATTGGAAACATTAGGGTTTGAAGATGTTATTTAAAGAGTATAATACAGTGAAACAAATTTGAGAGAAAAAAAAGAGACAACGAGGAATAAGGAGATCAAAATTTGGGAGAACACAAAGAGTGGATACACCTGCGCCATTGCAAACGATTTTGAGCCATGTCATCCAGGGTCTCTAACCATCGGTTGCTATCATCTCTCGGTCCCCAACCAGGCAGTCTACACCTACCAACATGACTCAGTCCACTTGTCAGTGACTTCATGGACTTGTGCCATGTTTTGGTCTGGCCGCCTCTAGCTTTCTTCCAACCTATTCCTATACCACTAAACATCGCACGTCGAGGCAGTCGGTCGTTGGGCATACGTAACACGTGTCCCAGCCATCTCAACTGATGAAGTTTCACTACTTCATCAATTGATTTGCCATCCTTACCTAGTACCCGTTTCCTAACAACTGCGTTACTTACTCGATGGTCCCATGATATACGAGCAATGTTTCGAAGACACCTATGATCAAATACTAGTAACCTACGAATATCCTCTACTCTTACCGGCCATGTTTCACTGCCATAAAGTAGGACGGAACGAACTGCTGCGCAGTAAACACGTCCTTTGGTTGATAGACGGATATCTCGCCTACGCCATAAATGACGCAAGTTGGCAAAAGCTAGTCGAGCCTTCTGTATCCGTGCTGAGATTTCGTCACACACTAGACCACAAGGGCTGATGAGACTTCCAAGATAAGTGAAGCGGTCGACACGCTCAATTACTTCACTCCCTATCATTAGTTCGGGTGTCAATGCAACCCAATCCTGAAGCAACATTTTGCATTTCGAGGGGGAGAATCGCATCCCGAACATGCTTGCATTGTTGCTTAGAGTGGTCAGAAGACTCTGCATTTTGTCAGCGTCTTCACCAAATAAAACAATGTCATCAGCATATTCTAAGTCAACAAGTGAATTGCCCGGTAGAAGTTCAACCCCTGGAAATTTAGATGAGGAAAGTGTTATCTCTAAAAGTACGTCAATGACAAAGTTGAACAAGAATGGGGAGAGTGGACAGCCCTGACGAACACCACTTGAGGTAATCAATTCTGATGACAGTTCGCCATAAGCTCTCACTCGACCAGTTGTGTTCGAGTAGAGAGCCTTTATAAGGTTAATGTACTTCTTTGGTACTCCTTTCAATGAAAAACACTGCCATAGAACCTCACAATCAACGGAGTCAAATGCTGCTTTAAGGTCGAGAAATACTACCATTGTGGGGCGTCTGAATGTGTGTGTCCTAGAAACTGACGTAGTGTGAATATCTGATCTATAAAACCACGTCCAGGTCGAAAACCAGACTGACTTCCTCTAGTCCGTTCTTCACGAGCTTTAATTAGGCGTCGAAGTATTACTGAAGCTAATATTTTAGACACTATATTAGTTAGGCTGATTCCTCTGTGATTGTCACAAGAGGACTTTTATCCTTTCTTATAGACTGGCACAATCAGTGATTGAGACCAGTCAGATGGGATTACGTCCAGTTCCCAAATTCTACCTAAGACCTCAGTTAATCTCATTGCTAATACTGGACCTCCATCCTTAAAAATCTCAGGAATAAACCTGTCAGGGCCTGCTGCTCTCCCTCGCTTCAGATTTCTTATGGCTTTTTCAACTTCGTAAAGAGTCGGAGGACTTACATTAACTTCACATTCAGGTTGACTGGAGATCGTGAGAAACCGAAGTATGGCTGAAGGCCAGTTGAACTGACCCTTAAAGTGTTCTGCCCATCGATCCAATCTCCTGGACTGACAATGAATAATATGTCTATCTTTTTCCGAGATAGTTTCGCTAACAGTTGGATTCTTAACACAGGTTTCCTTGACAAGTCTGAACAATTGTCTGCTATTACTTATTGCCGCAGCCTTTTCCATCTGACTTGCTTTCGCTACCCACCACTGTTCACGATCATTGCGTAGGCTTCTTGCCAGCCTGCGCTTAAGCTGACTCCGCTCTTCGTCATGTTCAGAGCCAGATGGGACGAGTTTTTGAGCATCTATCAGTGCGGTGGATGCTGCTGAGATCCCGTGTTTCTCCTTAACCTTATGGTTTACCTTACTAGCAGATATCACTGTTGTTCCCACAGCTTTCCGGATATCATTCCACGCTGCCTCGGGATGGGCATCACTTACATGGCTGCCTAACTTTTTCTAGTTGTTCCTGAAATATATTCCTAGCTTGGCTATCATTAAGTAGGACCGTAAGAGGTTTCCTTGCAGTGTCTTTCCTACGTTCAGTAAGACGCAGACAAATACGCGCTTGCACTAGAACATGATCTGAATGTAAGCATGTGTTCCAGAACGACCGACAGTCTTCTATCGAGCTCCTCCATCGGTGTCTGATAGCGATGTGATCAGGGGTCGCCATGCCAAAAAGTGTTTTTCCTTTTGCTAATAGCTAGTATTTGCAAGAAACAGGCGGTTATCTGAGCATAGCTGCAACAGACGGTCGCCATTATCTGTTCTTTGAGTCACGACACCATAAGGTTCATCCAGGTGTCTTTCCTTTTCGCTTAGTTTACCTACTTGAGCATTAAAGTCACTGGCCACTATTACTGCATCGGAGCGCCTAACCTTTTGGAGGTCGGAAAGCTCTCTGTACAGCTCATCTTTTACATCATCTGAGCTGCAGTCAGTGGGAGAGTGGGCAGAGACAACGAGTGTCCCTACTTTTCCGAGTCCTAACTGTTCCGTTTAGTTGGACAGTGCATAAACGACTGTCTACTGAGATCCAGTCTAAGAGAGCTAGTTCTACCCTAGGACTCAATGCTATACCTACACCAGCGAGGCCACGGGAAGCACCATCGGGGCTTCGAGATACACGAAGTGTGAATCGAGATGATTCTTTATTTTGATATGGTGAGGTCAAATGAACGACGCTACTTTGATTCTGTATAAGCGTTACGGCGACTCAGTGCACATCGATGGCGCGAGATTTAAAGATCCTAGATAAGGAAGCCTGTTGTCCTATTTGGCACAGTGTTCGGACTTTAAAATCTCCTACATGTAGTTTAGAACGTAGTTTCAGAAGACCAGGAATAACGTTCCGCGTACTCGAATAGTTTTCACTAGCGGTGCGGGATGATAAAGTAACGTGAGAAGGGTTAGCGGTGGAAATGATAGAGTTATTACGAGGCGTAGGAAGGATTTGACTGTGACCAACTTGGCCTCGTCTGCTGTTAGGGATATGAGGGCTCATGTCACTTCCCGGCTGCCCACACCGTAGAAGGGTACTTCTTAAGGAACCACCTTAAAGGGAAGTTGGATTAGTGTTGGTCTTAACGACCTGGGAGCGTGACCACAGAACCCAAGGGAAAACTGCTTGAGGCCGGTCACTCACGGCCCTTTAGCGTGTTAGCTCCATTCCTCAAAAGGCCTTACCAGCGGAGACGGAAATCCATGAAGTAAGGTGATGTGTGACATATTTAGAGTCGACCTTTTCTAACCCCTTCCTTCCTTGTGAGAAGACAGCATCGCTGCAGATGCTGGTTGTTCGAGTGGATCACCTTACTGCTGTCACACCCCTCTACACTCAGCATTACGAGTTCGCCCTCAGACCTTGAGTTGCTGCTTTTAGTCTTACCGTTCTCCAATCGACCTGCTTGACATGGTAGAACCTACAGGAACATATGTTCCAGCCAACCGATTGGGTCATCACGGTAGGCAAGCCCGAACACCGCATCAAGGTAGCAGCTACGGTCGGGTAACCCCTACAAGTATGGATTCATGTGACTCATAACTCTATTTAATAACGATCAATGATAGCCGCACACAGATCCATTATCTGACCAAAATAAAGCTATAACTCCACCTTTATTTGAAGCAAAATTCTGTGCACGAATAAACAATGAGTGATTATAATGAAATCTCGATCGTCCTAGCTTATAAAGGCTCAATAAATCATCTTAATATCCAAGAAAGAAGTTCAGATTCGTTAAGTATGAGCTGTGTAATAACCGATTGTGGTGACTTCGGAGGTTTTTGTTACATACTGTATTTTTAGAATAAGGTGGACAGTATTGGAAACGATGTTTTCTAGGACTAGACAATCGGGAAAACTTTTAATTAACTATCATTCCAAATGTTTTTTTCTAGCCATCACAACTATGTCTTGCAGAATGAATTAGTTCAGACTATAGCAAATAGATATACAAAATATTTTGAACTTTCACTTGTCAGTAATTGTTTTGTTGACTGTTTCAGTGTGAATAAATATAAAGCAAGACTACAACTAAATGAGCACGTACAATAATCCAACAGCTAACTGCAACCATATAACTATCACTCGTTTATGTCCATTAATTGCACTAAACAGTACTTCGACGTATATTCAAAGACAAAAAGTGGATGATCATCAGAAAAGATTGTATTCTATGTTTAATCATCACATTCAAGAGAAAAAAGTTACTACCACAACTGAAATGTAACGAGAGACTAGCAATATCAGTTCTAAAATCTCATCAATTATGACTTCCATTTATTGAAATCGCGTCCTATGATGTTATTTACATTTTTGAACTTACTGAGAATGTATTAGACTTTTCTTATCACATAACTAAGTAATATACTTCTTAAAAATACTCTATGTTACTAGGAGAAAAATCAAGTGAACACAGTTGGATTCTAACCAAGGAGTCAACTTCCACAAACGATACGATTTCATCTAGTTTATTTATTTTAACACATAGATATTGGTACAAGGAGGCACCAAATACATATGCGCCACACAAATCACACTCGATATGTGTGAGGGCTGTAATACTGCCCGGGTGCCCAAAACGAAACAGGTGGTTTTCTTAGGGGGCCACATCCCGAGCCTCCGACCTGAAGGTCTGACCCACAAGGCAGTGGAGCATCGTAAGGAGATGCAGTCCCATGGAAGCCGGTGACCAACAATTGGTTCATACGCCGTTTGTTCCTTCAGGATACTGGAGCCCATGTGCACCATTGGTTTGGAATCCGGTTAAAGCGCCGAACATTCGCTTTTCGTCCTCTCATTTTCGTAAACACCCCGCCACGAGAAGGCAGTGAGTAGGACTTCCCTGGCAGAGGCTATATACGCGTGGCCATGTGAGAGCATTTCGAGGAGAGCGGACTCTCCCTACTCTCGGTCGTACCAGGGCATTTCATCTAGTACACATACAAAACCACAATTTTAGCGTAGACTTTCGCGATACTGCCAGAATCAGTCGCACAATCAATAACATTCGTATTAATATCAATCATTAACATTTATCCATCTCGTTCTTCAAAAAATACCATACAATCGATAAAGCTAGAAGAGCAATGATCGCATTTCAGGATTGGATGTTTTCAACCTATTTCTCAAAAAGTGTTTAATGGACTATTAATCACCTAAATAAAGCGCTTTAACATTATGACATCACACAATACCTTTAATTACTTCATCATGAAAAGATAACGATGTAGTTGACTTATTTGTATCATAGATAGAACTGGTTGTGTCTGATAATTGAATGACAGATTGATACTTACAACAAACATATACACAAATCTAATGAAAATACCATAAAAAGGACAACAGCAGAAACTAATCACCAAGTTTATTACATCTTTGGATTCGTATCCTATAAAAATAAAAAGCGAATCCTCCTACTTTTAATATGGATTACTTTGAACTAATGACAATCAATGAAGTCGTGTATCAGTGTGAATTCGTCACTATAAGTCGTTTACAATATACACAGCATACTACAACGAGTAAATGTATATCAAAGACTACTCTGAAAAAGACTAACGGAGAATAAAAAATTAATATGAATAAAACCATTGAAACATGGGAAAATATATTTGAGATAGTAGCTAGTTGATACAAAGGTACACTTATTGACCAATATTACTCAACTATTCTCTCGGTCTTTTTGCTTCCGGTTCTCCATCATTAGCAGGTGTTGGAGGTGGAAGTGGTGGTGGTGGGATGGGTGGATGTGGAGGCATGAAACTCGGTATAGCTATGCCGGGTGGAGGTGGCATCCCGGGAGGAAATAGACCTGGTGGTAATGGTGGTGGCGCACTGGAAAGCATTACAAGGCCGGGAGGGGGTGGGGGCGGTGGAGGTTGTGTAACTCCACCTTGCATTGATGGTGGTGGCAACAAGATTGTCGGCTTATGCAGTACCGGAGGGATAATGCCTAGAGCAGGGAGCACCCCACTTTGAGGACCAATCTTATCGCGAGCAGAATCCAATTTCTGTTGGAACTCTAATAAATCCAGCTTATCTTTAACAGTAACCGCTTCTAAGTTTCTTTTGGCAACAACATCTGTAGTAACAGAGTAACCATCCCAAACTAGCTTATCAGACTTGACTATTTCCTGTTCTCCTATTTTCTTGCCAATCTGAATTTCATCAACTCCTACACCGAAAATGTCTGTGCGACGCTCAGCAAGCTGCTTTAAGCTACTGTCAATCAGATTTCCTGCAGCATAAACTTGTTCTTGTTCACGTTTCTCGCGAATCTCTCGATCACGCTGTTCGACCCACTTAGGATCGAGTAGCCCAACCTTAATATGTTTTGGAGCTTGGTTAGCAGGAATCTTCTCGCCAGTGAAAGGTGATACTAAAAGCACAGAATCCTCTGCTCTTCTAATATTTGTAGCTTTTGGGTCGTAGTTATGTCGAATAATGACTTGATCAGAAGATAATGGTACCTGTTTTGCTGATACTTTGTTTTGCTGAATGAGTTCTTCAGCAATATTCTCATCATCTGATAACTCCATATCATCTTCTCCAGCTATATCAGTCATATTAGCAGCAGGTGGGGTTGGGATATCATCAGTAACCCGATTTTCTGTTTCATCAGGATATGGTAGAGGGCTATGATTGATCGGACCCTGGCCTTTAGGTTGAGAAAGCCCAGAAGCTTCATTTTCATCTTCTGATTCATCTAATTCTTGGTCACTTGTATCATCTTCATCTATATCAGTTGGCATTAATCCAAGTGAACCGGGGGGTGGAGGGGCTGACGGCTTTGAAGGAGGCTGAAGACCACGTTCTTCAGCTAGTAAGCGTGCTCCAACTTCATCAGGAGTAGTCGGTAGAGGGAAATTACCTGCTTCGTTTGGTTGAAAGTCAACTGTTTCAACAACCACGAAATCATGCCAATCAATCATTGCGTACGCCACACGTTCACGTTCTGCAGCCTCCTCCTCACGCTTACGCTGACGTTCTTGATACTTATGCCATTCAACCCTATATTTTACATCGTCAAGCAGCTGTTTCGGTTTCTCTAACTCGTCCTCCAATTTCGAAACAACGTCTTTAGGTGGTATTAAGATTTTAGTGTATTGTTCCACAAGTTTTGTAAAATAACCAAACATACTGTGCTGAGCACGGAGAAAGTCAAACTGATAATTTCTCTGTTCTCGATTCATTAACTGAGTTAAAAATTGTCGACCGTTTCTTGCAACAAATTGTGCTGTAAGTTTTATTATGTCAATATCAACTGCGTTAATAGAAGGTGGATCATAAACAAATTCAAATTCAGCTGGTGGATCCTTGGGTGTAAATGTTTCTTGAATCGATTTTGGAGTATCCTGAGCAAGACGAGCAGCACTGGGAATAGTTAATTTTAGAGCAGCAGGTTCTGGTGTTCTCCCTTCAGCAAACTCTCGAACTTTGTGTTGATAATACGCGTGGTATGGATCAGCTGGATTCAGAAAATTGAACTTTGGATTACTGATCTCATTTTGACGAATACGAGATTCAAAGTCTGGACCATTACGTGCTACAAAACTCGCCGTTTTATCGACGATATTCCTTACTTCAGGTGGAGGATATATTATACCAATTTTAGGTTGGATGGGTTTATCGCCCTGTTGTTCTTCGACAGGTGACATCTACAAAATTGAAGTGCATGGTGTTTAATTAAGCAATGTGTTTTGAAATTATGCACAAATATAGTTTCCTGAGTTGTAAGACCATTCAGATAACGAAACTAAAAATAAGATCCGTTAATAAGCATAAACTGATCTGACATTATACTAACAACTAACTTGTGTAAATACCGGGTAACTAGCACAACGAATTCCTACAGGATGTGTTTTAGATACCCAGGAAATAAACTAAAACCTAAGGGAAATGGATAACAGTATCTAGTGATCCCCTTAACAAAAACTAAGCTTTTTGCTTAATAACAAACAAAGGAAATATGATAGTTAATTTTTTCGGCTAATAAATGGTGTATTGATGAGGCAGGAAGTGGTTTAACAACGTAGTCATTTTAGTCTCACCGGTTTCAGGAATGTAGTCTACAATGGTAATGTTAACCGATGGTGACAATCAACGTAAGAATTATTGGGTAGAACCCGTTTCTACTTAAACGCATATATCGAATACATTAATACCATTTAGTGTAACTGTTAGCGGGACATAGACTGGATTAAAGCAGGTTCAATGCACGATTGCTTCGATGCACGCTGATTGGCTAATTCAATACTTAGTGAGCACTAGAAATCTTCACATGTGAAAACTATGAATATACTAACGTTTTTCCTATTGTGCTTCTTACTTCCATCTAACCTTGTTACTTAGAATATAATCCCTTTTCCTGTTCAGCCGTGTTCTCATTTGGGGGACTTGTCGAGTGAATCGGTGTCCGAGAATACTAAGCAATAGGAATAGCTGGGTTATAACCGTAAGAGAGAATTCTAACAGTCACTTATGACTACTCAACAGAAAAAGCAGAATCCCATCCCGTCTATGTATATAATTTTGGAAATACTTTTGAATGAACTACCGGATTAGTCGTCTGACATGTAAACCAGGGGAAGAGATGGGGTCCTCAATCCTTGACCTAACTATATCGAATAATAATAATCCATTCAAATGTTAGAGCTTATGAAACTAGGAATCTTGAGACGAGAAGCTATGGCGATCGTTGGATTTTTCACGCCCTATTTATGGAAAAATAAGATTGTAGTGGAAGCTTAGGAAACCCATGATTCCTTTTACTCTGCAAACTTTAACAAATAAAATTCGATTTGCGAAGTTTTTAAACTCTAGTTTACTGTTACGATTTTAGTTTAGCATCTTTATCACTCTACAGTACGTTTTTTATAAATAAATCCTATTAAATATAGCAAAAGGGTTTGCAGGTCAAAACTAAAATGCCAGTAAGCACACATACGATCCTAGTGTGTGTAGTTATTCACTTCAACCTATATGATCAACAGAATGATTGTTCATAATCAATCTCACGTGCTTAATGGAAGGTTCTGGTGAGATTGAGGTAGTAAAGTTGTGTTCATATTACAGATCTATAGAAACATGTATATCACCGTACAAAAAATGAGTTGATCTGATTTCTCGCATGACTCAATAGGATGTTAGGTGACTTCAGACATCTGTCTACTTTCTCGATATGTGACTACTGCAATCAGTCAGTGCTGAAAGAATTAATTCCAAGAATAAGTGAATGTTGACAGTATTGACAGACAAGAATCTGAGGAAGAAACAAGAGGAACCAGGCTTAAAAACTTTGCAGTTTCCAACCAAGACGAAATGCTGGCACTTTAGGATGACCTGAATAGACCGTAAAGCTGGGCGGATAACAACCGACTCATAGAACTTCAAAGTACATACTGGTTCATCTGAGGCATGTTACGGACTACGCATACAACTTAGGTAACTCCCCTTTAGGGGTATCCCAAATCGCAAGAGACCTAGGAGTCTTGATACCCTATGACCTAGTTTTACGATAACTGAAGCAAAAACGCCGTTCAAACAAACCTTGCACTGATAAAGTCGAAACCCATCTTTAGGCAGTTTGACTGCATAACTTTTCACTTGTTCTTTAAGTTTTATCTGACCCCATTTAGGGTATGGAAGTATAGTGTTCCCATCCTCACTTCAAAAGGACAAAAACACACTTCATTGAATACCAAGGCGAGCCATAAAATTAGTCCCGGGACCCAAGTCCAAACGTAATGAAGAGCACCTCATATTACTGAATATCTACCCGCTGAAGTATAGGTGTCTTAGAGGTGATTTAATGACTCATAGAATCCTAAATACTCCTGGGCACCCACTTAGGCATATGCTTAGGCTCGGTAACACTCAAAACTTAGAAACAACTTGGAGTCACTGGTTATGTACTACTATTAGATACGTAAGCTCATTAAGCGAAAATGGCAAGACCATAATTCATGGACGTTTCAGCGACACTAAAGTGACCTTAGGGATGTCTACCTACTAACAAGTATGCGAAATTAGATTTCGTGTTTAAACTGCGAAACTGACAAAGCCGAAATAACGAAACGCTATTCAGCCGAATGGATGGACGAATTTCACACCAAAATTGCAGACATGTAATCATACATATGACTGATTCGTCCGTAAACTATAGTTTCACCGTGGAAGCTTTTAATCCGCTACCAACAATTAAACTACTTGAACCAGACTAAGACAAAAGATGAGATGTTTTTTACTTATTTCTAATGCACTATTTAACTGACCAAACAATCACAATGTCAAACACTATACATCGACGAAATGAAGCACAAACCGTTGCAAATATTCTTAAAACAACCACCAGTGCAGTGCCCCTGTTTGTTCAATCCTCAATTCTTTACTAGAGAATATGATTGGGATTCTTCTTTTAGTGAAGTAAAATTTCTCCAAGATTTTTTCGTAAGCCTTCTGTTTTAATTTCAGAAAACAGACAATCTTAAGATGATGGAGATTTGTAACTTTTCAGAGCAACCAAAGCAGGCGAAATAAAATGAACATTCCTGTGGAAAAAATGAACAATAAGGAGTAAACATGCCCAAAAACGTCTAACGTTGTCTAGCTGATAGGCGATAGTTCGTAATCTTCCATTTTTGTCTTTTTATTTATCAAATTTTACCGAAATGTCTATTTTACGCCCAAATCAATGCCATTTTCGCTATGTTTTGCATCCTCTTAAGCAGATTACACAGAAAATTCTATGGTGCTAACCCTCAACTTTTACCACGTTTGCCTTCACTTTCACTAAAAAGTAATTCTTTGGACACAGCAGATTGGATTAGGAAATAAAGACATTTAATGGCAGGACATAGGACAAAAGAGAATAATAACGAAGAGCTGTTCGTTACACATCTTTATGAAGATCGCGAAGTTTCACTGTCAATAACGAGTAAGGAGAAGTGGACGATGCTGAAGACTCGACAGGTATTTGAAGTATGACAACACTTTAACCAGTAACACCTAATATGAATCGTAACAATCAAGTGAAATCAAAAGACAGAAGCGAGGAGATTCAAAGATATATTTGATAGGCTATAAATATATCGAGGATCATTTGACTTAATCTGGCTGCGATTGCAGGGCATCTTAAGCACGGAGTTCCCACTCGTGAACTGCTGTGGATTCATGGACAAATACTTTCAGCCTGTTGAGTCCATGAAAAATATTATGGACAAAATCAAATGCCCAAGGAATACAGAGATATATAAAATGGTGATATATTTACCGCTAAAATGAAGTTGTAGTGACTCACATTTATCACGAGAACACGACTGGTTTAATAAAAACAATTATTATTATAACCAACTGTACCAGTGTTTGTTTTAACGTGCTTTTGTTTGACTGTGCTAATGACAGCTATTTTGTGCTTCCATTCTTTTACTTACACTTTGATTGTAACTTCGCGCGAATTCGGTTACGTTCTGTAACCAAGCTTGTATTCTGGCACGATCTCGGTATCCTTTCGATGCCACGAGATCGCCAGCGAATACATCTCGATTTGGTCCATTAACTGTCTTCTGATATTTGGCTTCTCGGGGATTTTATGGATTTATTTGGTTACGTCCAACCTTCGCCTTCTGATATATCCTGGCACGTGTTTCTTGGTAGCGGTGTTCATAGTTAACCTCAACTCGACGCCACGCTACAATTGGTGATCCCAAAGTTTGGAACACGCCTCAACATCTGGTCAAATCTTCCAAAGAAGCCAATTCGGTGAGTCTATGATTTATCTATCCACGTCTGTCGTATATTTTCATATTTTTTAATATATAATATACGCGACATGACGGATAACGATAAGAATAGTATTAATATAATAGACTCACATGTATGTGTACCGAATCCTTGTTACTTTTTATTCGCGTGACGATGAATTCCACGCTTTATTCGAGAAATTTTCCCCTATTAACTATTCTCCTCGCTGACCCGGCTGCTTGGTACGGAATGCATACGCATAAGCATTAACGTCTACCTCCCAGCACCAAATGGTTAAGTAGAACGGTTTCACTGCCAACTTAAAAGTGCTCTACGAGCACACGAGAACGACAACTGGCACGAAACCTTATCGCTCGTCCTCTAAGGTATTCGAACGAGCTTGAAGGCAGATATACAATGTTCCGCCGCTGAACTGGTAAACGGCACGACATTGCGTCTGCCCGGAGAATTCACACCACGGAGCAGACCTAATTTCGGTAAATCAGACTACGTCCATCGACTGTCTGCATTTATGCGAACGCTGTCTCCGGTGTCAACTCGAATACAACATCGACAGGTCGCTCTCCCTCGAGAGTTATCTACCTGTTCACATGATTTTGTACGAGTAGATTCGGTACGCAAACCTTGGCAACAACCTTACGAAGGCCCTTTTCACGTGATCGCTCGTCACGAAAAGACCTTCAAGGTTGATCGACATGGCCGCGTCGAGATCGTCAGCATTGATCGTCTCAAACCAGCACACGTCGATGACAGTGCCCTATCTGATAACCTGAGATTCAATGCTAGACCTATCAAACCTGCTAGCGGGATCCTTAAATCTTCCTCCACGCGAACGAGACTACCGTCTCACGTTCCGGTCGCCGAGTATGGTTGCCCGTACGCTTCCGCGACTAGCCGCACAGTTAACAACCGATACGGTGTAGGACTATTCCTATGCTACACGCATGCTACACTCTTCTCTTTTTTGCTTTTCTTTTTGTTTCCTGAGCCCACGCCTTCGATCATCTCCGTTTGATTCCGTCGACTTCAGTCAACTTTGGCGAAAGCTGGCCTGATCACCCACGCTCTTGTCAACGTACGCAGTCGATATATTGGTTTCGAATGCTTGGCATACGCTTGGTCTCGAACTTGGTCGTTATGGTCGCTTCTGGTTCATCAGCTAAACGTGGTTTCGTCCTACATCTGCAGCGTTTCTGGTGCGCATATCCTACGAACGCCCTCTTCAGATTCTGGATACAAACCACTCTCGTGTAGCATGCCAACTCAAGCAACAAATACAGCACATCGCTCCTTGTACCGTTCTCCGAAAACGACCTTCGTTGGCAACTCGACGGTCAACGATCGCTTTCCTGTTCGCTACTTATCGAAAGTGTAAACCCTTTCTAGCGGGGGGCTCCTGTAGTGACTCACATTTATCACGAGAACACGACTGGTTTAATAAAAACAATTATTATTATAACCAACTGTACCAGTGTTTGCTTTAACGTGCTTTTGTTTGACTGTGCTAATGACAGCTATTTTGTGCTTCCATTCTTTTACTTACACTTTGATTGTAATTTCGTGCGAATTCGGTTACGTTCTGTAACCAAGCTTGTATTCTGGCACGATCTCGGTATACTTTCGATGCCACGAGATCGTCAGCGAATACATCTCGATTTGGTCCATTAACTGTCTTCTGATATTTGGCTTCTCGGGGATTTTCTGGATTTATTTGGTTACGTCCAACCTTCGCATTCTGATATATCCTGGCACGTGTTTCTTGGTAGCGGTGTTCATAATAAACCTCAACTCGACGCCACGCTACAAAGTAATGATAAAAAAATGGAAAATATATGTGAAAGCAAAAATAAATAAAAGCACAGGAAGAAATTCAAAAATGAGGTAAGAACACACGAAAAACAGAAGTCAACAAAGAAAATAAGAAAATCAGCAAGCAAAAATGGGAAAGAGAAGACAAAAAAAATGCTAGGAAAAAACATAAAAAAATATATAAAAATTCGACTAAATAAAGGAAAAAATCGAATAGTTGATGTAAAGGCCTGTTTCGCAATATCTCCGGAATGGTTGGTCGTATCGTTGTGAAAATTGTTTTATATTATTGGTGGCGATCTCACCTATCAGACTAAACAAAGAAAATTTTCAAATTGTTGGTGTAAGTGCCTGTTTCGCAATATCTCCGGAATGGTTGGTCGTATCGTTGTGAAAATTGTTTTATATTATTGGTGGCGATCTCACCTATCAGACTAAACAAAGAAAATTTTCAAATTGTTGGTGTAAGTGCCTGTTTCGCAATATCTCCGGAATGGTTGGTCGTATCGTTGTGAAAATTGTTTTATATTATTGGTGGCGATCTCACCTATCAGACTAAACAAAGAAAATTTTCAAATTGTTGGTGTAAGTGCCTGTTTCGCAATATCTCCGGAATGGTTGGTCGTATCGTTGTGAAAATTGTTTTATATTATTGGTGGCGATCTCACCTATCAGACTAAACAAAGAAAATTTTCAAATTGTTGGTGTAAGTGCCTGTTTCGCAATATCTCCGGAATGGTTGGTCGTATCGTTGTGAAAATTGTTTTATATTATTGGTGGCGATCTCACCTATCAGACTAAACAAAGAAAATTTTCAAATTGTTGGTGTAAGTGCCTGTTTCGCAATATCTCCGGAATGGTTGGTCGTATCGTTGTGAAAATTGTTTTATATTATTGGTGGCGATCTCACCTATCAGACTAAACAAAGAAAATTTTAAAATTGTTGGTGTAAGTGCCTGTTTCGCAATATCTCCGGAATGGTTGGTCGTATCGTTGTGAAAATTGTTTTATATTATTGGTGGCGATCTCACCTATCAGACTAAACAAAGAAAATTTTCAAATTGTTGGTGTAAGTGCCTGTTTCGCAATATCTCCGGAATGGTTGGTCGTATCGTTGTGAAAATTGTTTTATATTATTGGTGGCGATCTCACCTATCAGACTAAACAAAGAAAATTTTAAAATTGTTGGTGTAAGTGCCTGTTTCGCAATATCTCCGGAATGGTTGGTCGTATCGTTGTGAAAATTGTTTTATATTATTGGTGGCGATCTCACCTATCAGACTAAACAAAGAAAATTTTCAAATTGTTGGTGTAAGTGCCTGTTTCGCAATATCTCCGGAATGGTTGGTCGTATCGTTGTGAAAATTGTTTTATATTATTGGTGGCGATCTCACCTATCAGACTAAACAAAGAAAATTTTCAAATTGTTGGTGTAAGTGCCTGTTTCGCAATATCTCCGGAATGGTTGGTCGTATCGTTGTGAAAATTGTTTTATATTATTGGTGGCGATCTCACCTATCAGACTAAACAAAGAAAATTTTAAAATTGTTGGTGTAAGTGCCTGTTTCGCAATATCTCCGGAATGGTTGGTCGTATCGTTGTGAAAATTGTTTTATATTATTGGTGGCGATCTCACCTATCAGACTAAACAAAGAAAATTTTAAAATTGTTGGTGTAAGTGCCTGTTTCGCAATATCTCCGGAATGGTTGGTCGTATCGTTGTGAAAATTGTTTTATATTATTGGTGGCGATCTCACCTATCAGACTAAACAAAGAAAATTTTAAAATTGTTGGTGTAAGT